GTGACCTGTAAAGAGCTGGGACCACCGTTTCCAAGGTTACTGTTGGTTATACACTAAGACATCATGGTTTGAAATCAAGCATGGCGCGGAAGGTTCCCTTGCTTAAAGGAATAGTACACCCAAAACATGATTAGCCTTCATTTTCTACTCACCCCCATGCTGAACAACACTCTGGAGTACTTTTTTGATATCTCAAATGCATCTGGAGATCTGGGAGGCTTCTTGCTGTCTGCTGACATTCAAATAATGGAGGTCTATGGTGACCGAGACAGAAAGGTCCATAAAAGTCCACAAAAAACGTGTCAATATTCCTCCATACTGCTCGTCCAATGTATTCCAAGTGTCCTGAGTGGGTAGCATCCAGAATTTACTCGAAACGAAGTCATTTAGAATGTTTTTAGAGCATAAACAGTAGTGTATAGGATTTCCTGAAAGCGCGCACACGTGCGCTCACGACGCTACGGAAGCCGGCAGATCAAACCAGATGAAAGTGCGCATTCAGCGTCTGCTCTTCCAATAATGCAAGCGTAGAAGAAGAAATGTGCTGTTTACCTGTGCAAAGAAAGAAACAACGAAAGAAAAATATCTGAGGACTTCAGTGTTGAGGAAGAGCATGAGTTCTTTGCCGAGCTGAATGCGCTGGTTTGGTCTGCCGGCTTCCGTAGCGTCGTGAGCGAGCGTGTGCGCGCTTTCAGGAAATCCTATACACTACTGTTTATGCTCTAAAAACATTCTAAATGACTTCGTTTCGAGTAAATTCTGGATGCTACCCACTCAGGACACTTGGAATACATTGGACGAGCAGTATGGAGGAATATTGACACGTTTTTTGTGGACTTTTATGGACCTTTCTGTCTCGGTCACCATAGACCTCCATTATTTGAATGTCAGCATACAGCAAGAAGCCTCCCAGATCTCCAGATGCATTTGAGATATCAAAAAAGTACTCCAGAGTGTTGTTCAGCATGGGGGTGAGTAGAAAATGAAGGCTAATCATGTTTTGGGTGTACTATTCCTTTAAAGCAGCACATGTAAAGTTTGCCAATGACCAGTTGGAGGATCCAGAGGAGTCATGGGAGAAAGTCATGTGGTTTAGATGAGACCAAAATAGAAGTTTTTGTGCAGAATTGCACTAACTGTGTTTGGAGGGAGAAGAATGATGAGTACTATCCCGAGAACACCATCCCTACTGTGAAGCACGGGGGTAGTAGCGTCATGCACCTGCATCATGCACCTGCAAATGGGACAGGGTGACTGCAGTGTATTAAGGGGAGGATGACCGGGGCCATGTAATTTGAGATTTTGGGGAACATCCTCCTTCCCTCAGAGCATTGATTGTTTTTTTTTTTTGTTTTTTTTAGATTATGTCTCTCTGTCACAGTGGACATGCACCTAGAATTTCCGACCGCTCCTTGATTTCTAAGTGGGATAACTTGCACAATAGCAAGGTTTACAAATACTTATTTTCCTCACTGTAGGTCTTGAACCTCTAGTACAAGCGCATCCCTTTCATTACTATGCTTCCAGGGATTTTTAGTGTTTTATTCCTGCTGGATCGTGAACATTTGCCTCTCAACTCTTTTAAAGCCTCTGATCAGGTTTTATTTCAGGATTGTCCTGCTTTTAGCCTCCATTCACCCTCCTATCAACTCTGACCAGGTCTTCTGTCTCTGCGGAAGAAAAGTGTCCCCTCAGGATGATGTTGCCACCACCATGCCCCTCTGTGGGGATGGTGTGTTCAGCTGATGTATGGTGTCAGTTTTCTACATCATGGTGTTTTGTATATTGGCCGAACAGTTCAATTTTGGTGTCTGCTGATGAAAAGGCAGCTTGTTGTATTCGCTTTCATAGCTTTGGGCAAATTGTAAATTGGTTTCCTTCTGGTTCTTCTTTCAATGATGGCTTTCTTCTTGCTGCTCTGTTGTGAAGCCCAGGGATCAGAGTAACGGATCTCTTCAACTGTGTTCTACTTTGTGTTGCATTGAAGTTGAACTGACAGGAATAGTTTAGCAAAGCCCTGTAACCTCTGTCCAGTGGCTGGATGTAGAGCTTAAGAGAGGAAAAAGGCCATATTGCAGGTGGAGCGTCGCTGGTTCAAGACCAGGTGACTGGTAGTGGGAGAAACGGCGAGAACGGAGGCTGAAGAGAAACGAGTTAAAGCGTGCTGGGAGAGGAGTGGAGCGTGAGGTGGCCTGGGGGGGAGGAGAAAAGAAAGAGCGGAGAAAAAGAGAAGCAGACGTGGAGGAGGTGGGGAATTGATGAAGCAGAAAGCTGGGTTATTCCTGCTGTGAATCTATGTGTCTTTGTGTGTGTGTGTGAGTATGAATGGCAGGCTTTGGCAGTAAATTAAACTGTTTATCAGATCAATATGGCCATCATCTCCCAGATGACTGTGGCCTCTACTGAAGAGCAGCCATAAATCACAACCAAAAATGGAGGACAGCGATCTATACTGTGTCCGCTGCTTTGTGTGCACGCACATGAGCAGCCAGTGCACCAGGATAGATGCTCCTGTCTTCTTTTTTTATTTATTTTTTGGTCTGCGGTAACTCGTTTTTATCTGTTTGTGCGTCTGTTTTAAGATAGTCGTCTTTACTTTGATGTTCTGAAGCTGAGAGTTGATATGAAGCAGTCACAAAATGGAGACAGAAGAAAGACAGACCACACCTTCTGGGAAAAAAAGAAAAAAACGATGCTTCCCACATGCTTGTGTTACAGGAAATACATCTATACTGCTAGACAATTTACACACTGGTAATACAGCGTTAGTGTGACACATCCTCTGTCCTCCTCTACAGGGTTAACAACAGTGCTCTTGTTCCGTGTGTGACGGACCCCAGTGCTCGCTCTCTGAATAATGTAGCCTCCGATATCAGTAACAAGAGTCTCAAAACCAAAATAGCATCTTGAGCTCTGATAAATATAGAAGGTAATTAAATCGGCAGCAGGAGAGAGGGGAGAAAAGCAAGGAAAAAGGGAAGCTCTGTGTTTTGTGTGTTCAGATGAATTCAATCCTCTGAGTGAAGCGAGTGGTTGGCTGGAGGGAAGATGCTTCCTGGTGGATTTAGGGTCTTCATTCAGTCTGGAAAAGTTTGAGCTTGGAGGGAATATCTCCCAGGAATGAAGAGGAATAAGAAATGGCAGAATATGGCAGAGAAATGTCTAATCTTAACTTTATTCTCTCTTTTTTGTTGCCTAGATGATCCATCCTTCCATTCACTAATGTAATTCCAATGTCAAGGGTTTCTAAAGTGGAGGGTCAGGACTTCACAGGGGGTCATAACATGGTGTTCATGATAATTATCATGTGATAATAAAGGTAGAGCGACGGCCAAAAAAGATTTTTTTTATTTAATACGTGATTCAAATATCACATATTAAATAAAATATATTACATAAAATTAATTAAATAAAAAGCATTTAAAATTGTATATATATTATAAATAAATAAATAAAATAACATTTTAAAATATGAAAATGTATAATTTTGTGAATGTAATGTATATTAATAGATAAAAAAAAATTCTTCTGTGTATTTTTAGGGGGTCCCCGGTCTGTTGCGTTATTTTAGGGATCATAGGCTGAAATGTTTGGCAGTCCTTGATCTATCAGTCTGGAAGTCGTTCAGTTCCCTCCCTCCTATCCATCCATCCATTTAGTTGGTTTTTTCTTCCATCCTTCTAATATTGCAGGAATTTATCCATCCATCCGTTTAATAATCTATCATTAAGTCTAACCAATTTATCCATCTCCCATCCATCCATAATCCTTTTTTTTCTTTCTTTCTTTTTTTTTTTTTTTACAAGTTTCATATTAAAGCAATGATCACTGCAGAAAGGTGTGCCCTAAATTAATGCTAAACTCTACACCTTATAACTGGGCTAAGGGAACTGAAATCGGTGACGTACAGGGTCAATTGTTGCAGGACTGTTAAGTTTTGGGAGGGTCTGTTAAAAACACCGAACCTCAGCCGTGAACTTTGTGCCGCTCTGAGGCCCGGCAGCGTGCGTACGGTGAGTCAGCAGTATTCGATTGCGTCGTTCCCAGGAGCCTCAGCGACGTTCTCTTCTATCTGCATCTTGACACGCACACAAACTTTAGGCAGCAGGATTTTAGCTCCCTTTAATGAAGCGTCTCCCCTTCAGTAGGAAAACTGGAATCACGGGGATGATCCTGAATGTGTCACTATTGGCATGACAGTCAGAGGAGTGGGGGTGAAAGGTTACCGGGGGAGAGTCACGGGGAGCTCAGATCGGTTTGTCAAAGCGGGCCGGACCCTATCTTGACATGATCCCCTCTGGGAAAGAGTGTGTGTGTGTGTTTTAGTGAAATGTTTTGACAGAAACTGACTGACAAGCCCTTTTGCAGCTCAGCACCAGCCGCCGCAGAGAGACTAATGATGACAGCTCTCAGGCCCTACACATTGCTTTCTGTTTCTCCCCCTCTATCACACACACACACACCATAAAATGTCTTCCTGTCCCTCACCCTCTTTGTCTCGTGTCTCTCCCTCAGCTACCTCCATCACACGCCCACACAGACAATAGCATCCTGTATGTTGTCTCCCTGATGCAAAGCCACAAACACACCCATGTTAACGCGGAGGCTCAGGCGAGCACACGCATGTTCTCTGCCTGCAGTCCTCCAAGTCTCCATCACACACACTCAGTTTTTTTTTCCTCATATTGTTGGCCTTTCTTTTAGACACACATTTTTTTCCCTCTCACACGCATGCACAAACGATGCACTACTCTCTCTGTCTTGGAATTTTACATTTCGATGAAGGAGGAAGCGTAGCGTCCAATCAGAGCGGCGGAAGAAGGGTAAAACCATTGAGTGTTAGACAGCGGGGTGGTTCAGGCTCCACTCCACAGGCTGCGACAGAGCTCTCCCTGCCGCCTCTACCCCCTGGAGTCCCCCTCAGCTCGGCCAGGCCGGTGGTACGATCCGGCAGGCTCCATAAGAACCCCTCCTCCCTGCCTCCCCCTCTTCTGTCAGTGCTAGGGTGTAGCTACTGATCCCATACTACTGCACAGAGAGTGAGAGTGGAAGGTAGGTGGGACATCAGGTGTCACAGCTCCACAGCCCCAGATGAGGCTGCATCACCACGACAACCAGGGGTGCCGTCAGGTGAGTCTGAGGGCATGCACGCACACCACCCTGCTCATGGTGGAGCGCATCCAGATGTGGCTCTGAATGACAGCAGTCTATTGTTACTTTTTAATCTGACCAACATTTTATTCGAAGTAGATCTGCAACATGTATGTTCCTATATGCGTGTCTGTGCGTGGGTTTGATGCTATGAATGTAGATTATATATGTGAGTGCGTGCGTGTGTGCGTGCGTGCGTGCGTATGCCAGCCCTCCGAGTGTGATGGTGGTGGGAGACAAAGGGTCCCCTCCGTCTGGCACTTTAGCACCGCTCACAACGCCGGCGTAAGGTGGGAAACTTCTGTGTCATACTCCATGTATGATCAGGGGGGGTAAAAAAAAAAAAATAATTTTTAAAAAGTCAGGCGATTGAAGACGAACCCTGATCCACCTCAGAACACAAACGACACCGATTCCCATCGAACACTCCTGTCTCGTGGTGATAAAAGAGCACAGTCACAGGAGATGATCGCCCGGCCAGAGGGGTTGGGGTGGGGGATGTGTTCTGAGGACACGGCGTCTGAGGCGATGGGGGGGGGTTTGGCGGTCATGACACTACTGTAATGTTCGATAGACGTAGAGGAGGATGTGGAAACGGTGTCAAAGGCAGGGTCATCTGCCATGCACATGACTCTGACTCTGTTCACTATAAGGAAGCGAAAAAGGCTCAACCTGTCCAACTGTTGGCCATTACTGACCGATGAACCCAGACAAAGGGGGTCGCCGGATCATGCATGCAGTCTCGTATCATATTCTGTGGAGGTGGGAGGGTGCGTGAGGAAAAGGAGGGGAGGGGGGGGATGTTCACGGGGCGGCTTTGTATGTAGAACGGTAAAAAGGCATGTATGCACTGGAATCCCGGCGTTCAGGTCTCGACACCAGACGACAGTGTGCGCATTGCACCGCTCTGCTCTCCGCTGACACCCTCGTTCAACCTGTCCCACTTCACAGCCACGGTCATCCTCCCACCCTGAATCTCCCCCGACCGCAGAGCGTCGCTCAGGCTCGGTCCCTCAGAGCCGTGGACTGGTTCAACCCCGTCCATATGACACAAAGTGATCAATCCCCTCTTTGTGCTCGCTACTGTAATACTTGTGTTCTTATCCTTAGGTGGCCTTTGTTAGAAGCTGCCCATGTGATTGCAGATCTTTGTAAAAGGGCTCCAGTCTAATATGTTAGAGATGGTAAGTCGTCTAATGAATATGAGAGATAACATTAAGAAAGTATAAAAGAAAGGCTTCCCCATTTTGTGCTCTTTTCTAAATAGGTTTTCTTATGTAAGACTCATTATTCCACTTTTTCTGCTCTTTTTGGGGCGTTTACCAGTGAGCGGCGGCGTGGTTTGAGACATGGGTGGAGAACTGAGCTCAGACTGACGTACAAGCTCACAGGTCGAGCACTCAAAGAAAGACACGTCAGCATTTAATGTTCCAAATCATAATGCAGCGTTTGGACTAATTGGCTGCTTATTGTCATCACTGAAACGCAGATGATGCTGACTTTAAAGATGCAACAACTAATCAATCGATCGGGATTTAAACCAAAATCACAAATTTTTTTATTGTCGATAAATGCTTTAACCAGCATAAATAGAAAAGGGATATATATGTGTTAGTTATTTTAGTTTCTTTCATTTTTGTTGAATTGGGACTTCCTTCTTTATTAAGTTTCATGTGCAGTTTTTCCAAAAGCAGAATCAGCAGGACGGACAATATGGTTGGAAATTATCAGGCGGGTAAATCCGGATCAGTATGTTCTCTGATCGATATCATTATTGGCAAATATTCCTCAGTGAGCCGTGAGCAAACATCCAGAACAAGCTGTACATTTTCCTCCATTGTTCTCTTCTTTCCCTTTTCTATTTACAATGATTCCTTTTCTCTCCCTTTTTTCTTTCCCTCCCTTCCTCAGCTTGTATGCACACCATCGTCCCCTCCTCCATATTGAGGCACAGAGATATACTCTCCGTCACGGACACGTACATTCAGCCTCCACACATACGTGTGGAGTTCGCACACCGCTGCACAATGACTTGCCATCATCCATGTCCTGGTTTCCTCTATAGGGGGCTAAGCTAAAACAATCCAAAGACGTTTTCAGACTTTTAAAAAAACGTCTCTTCGATACTGCAATGTGAGCTCCTTAGTTCTGAGGTAGTACTTTGTTTTGGGGGGGTTATCCTGAACAAAAATGCAGGAAACAAATGTGTAGCGAAACAGTTATCTCAATTGGGCTTCCTAGAGCAGCCTTCCAAAATGGCTGCCGAGCTGACACACTGTCTGTGATGGCCGACGAGTGTGTAGGTCTGAGGCGTGTGCATGTATGGCTGCGTATGTCTCAGTACATCATCAACCTCTGCATGCGTCTCTGTGTGCATTTACTAAATGTGATTGTAATTCTGCATTTGCCTTTTCAGTGACTGCTTTGTGTCACGGGAAGCCTCTGCTGCCGGAGATCTCCACTAATCCTTACTGTAATTACCCTCCTCCGGTATACCTGCACTGTAGGAGGCGTTACGTCAAACCTTTACTGTAACAGTTGCATTGAGTTTCAGTGGGGAGGGGGTACAGTTCTGTTACCTTTTTTTAAAATAAAGCTCTGCTTTTTAGGTGGCCAAAGTTATCTTTCAGTTTGGCAGCTTGGCGACGCCAACGTCTTTCCCAGCATTGACGAGCTGAATGCATCCTGAAAATGGCTGACCTTGTTGTTTCTTTACAGCTCTCTGATGCTTACTAGCCAGGCACCCAACCGCCTGCGTCCAGCCAGCAATCCTGCAGTCTACCAATCCGTCCATCCAGCGAAGCGAAGTCCAACACCAGCCAGAACTGGCAACCTGCAGGAGTCATCAGGGTTAGTGCTCGTTTGGCACGACTCAGTGCCAGAAACCCTCTGCAAGCATCTGGCTGCAACTTGTAAATTTATAGATCTGCATTTAAACTTAAAGCCAGTACCGTAAGTGAAAAGCATTACAACAAAAAAGCCCGGCCCATGAAAGTCCTTTTTTTTTTTTTTTTATCCAACAGTGAAAATGTTCTGCTTTCTTTGTTTTCCTGTAAAAATCTTAACAGGATGCCAAGTTTAAGATACCTTCATATTTTTACTCACTAGCTAAGATTTCTCACTGGATGATAATCTGAATTAATATAGAAACCTTTACAAATCAATATGTTGCCAATATATAATTGAATGTATTTTACAAAAAACTCTAGATTACCCACCCCATATAGTACTGTTCATGTACTTTAGATGCACATACCCATTTGTGACAAAGGAAAAGTGTTGTTAACCCTTTAAGCCAGCTGACTGTCAGTGTGCAGCAACATGTAGGGGAGGGGCAAACCCTTTATTTTCTCTGTTATATAATTTAAAGGTCTGCAAACTGCAGGGACTAAAGGATGTAACTGTAAATTCAAATTACCAATGCCTGTTTGAGAACAAATCCAGTGTAAAGTTTAATACAGTTCGTTTAAAGGTGGTTATCTTCTTAAATATGCAGGGACATTTTCACGGGTAGATAAGAAGCACTCTTTCATTTACATACTTTTTTCACTGCTCTTATTAGCCCACACCCTCGTCCAGCGAGCGCAGATTATAAGGCATCACTGGATTAAGTTAAAGCCGCCCCGCTCTGCTAATAACTCAAAACACCGCGAGCGCTTCTCTTTTCTGCAGTTCATGTGGGATGTACTCTAAAAAGAACAAGCTGAACTAAATGAGCACCGGTGCCCGGGCCTTATCACCTCTTAGTGGGCGTGGGGTCGGTTTGAGACGATATGCATGTCTGTGTAAAGATGTGTACATGTACAGAAAAAGAAAAAGGCAAATCTCATCATCTGCTCCTAATGCATTTGTCGAGCAGCGGTGCGGTCACAGCAGCCAGTCGATGTAACGGTGAGAAGATGATGGAGGAACGCTGGGCTGCAGGGCGTGCCCGTGGATGTGTGCATTAACGTGTCTGTTACAGAGCGAGGCGGTGCGGAAAGATACCTCTGCTTTTTACAGATAATCGTCTCTAATGTCAAAACTATTCCAGTCTAATGGAGTCATTAACTTCACTACAGTAGTTCACTGCAGCATCTCTCTTTTCTTTTTTTTTTTAAATAGAAATAGATGAGTTAGGCGCCTCATTCTTTAAGACAGTTTAAAAAACCCTGATGTGTATCTTTTCTAACTTTTACTGTCAGATAATAACCATAAGAACGTAATTAAATCTTTGCAAGCAGATGGCTTCATTTAAACAAACTCCTGGTATTTAGTGCAACAACAACTAGGTGGAATACAGTCAGAAATGTCAGGCTGAACGACTAGTCTGGTTTTCTTAACCAATTAAATCAGAATCAAATAGATGTGCACTCCAGAGTAGAAAGGAAACATGAGTACATCACTCCCCGTGTGCATGCATGTGTGTGTGTGTGTGTGTGTATGCCAGTGATTTGGAAAAAAGGCCTTTCAGAGCCGTGCAAAAAGGAAATGGATGCTTGGCAAATGCTCAGCCAGCATCTTTATCGCTGCTGCTCTCAGACCTGACCGCTGCATCTCCTTAATAATGGACACAGTCGCTTCTATTTATGCACTCAATAGCACCTTGCAGCCCTTCAGCATGTTTCCAGAGATAATATTTAAGCTCGAAATAAAGCAACAGAGCTTCTGAAGAACGGTTATTTGCATAAACATAATGACTTGTCTGACTTATGCCTTGGCCTTAAAAAAAAAAAAGAGAGATGCAACACTTAGATAAAGGTACAAAAAGTGTGTGGAACATTAAAGAAATGCCTAAAGTTTTTTATTTTTGTGGTGTTTTGCAATGTTTGAGCCAGAATGAGGTTTATAATGTTGACAGGGCAGCGAGTTCTCCATAGCACAGCCTTTTTTTTTTTTTCTTCCTTCCTGGCTTCCATCCCAAAGCACAGACAACAGACGTCGTCGTTTTTCCAACTCGATTTACAGATGCATTAGGAGACGCTGAGACGCGCCCATCTCACTCAAACGCAATCAGCATGCCTCTGTGTTTTAAGAGGAAATTGAGGGTGCCATTTTTATCGACTTCTTCTTTTCCCTTTCTCCTCCTCTGCAGACTCCATCCGCTACTCTAGAAAACATTCAGCACAGGCAGCTGCTCACAGTTTGGAAGTTTTATAAAAACGTTAAGAATTTTATTTTTTTACATTTGAAAATATGTCTTCAGCTATGAGTTTTGTTTAGTTTTTTAGTGTAGGTTTTCTCCAGGATATACATTTAAAACATAAATTATGATAAATAATGAATTCAAACTGTCGGTTTGATTAATACGTTTCTTTACACATATTGATTTTGAAAATTATTAAGTTGAATTTTCTGTATTTAGCCTGTTTTTGTTGCCCATAGAAAAACAACCTGATCCGTCTTTGTATTTCTTTGTTGTAACATTATTTAGCAAAGATAGAAGAAAACGAGCCTCCATGCATACGTCGCTGCGAACCATACATAAGACAGGAGGTTCTTAAAATTTCACTTTTTGTATTAAACCAATTTTAGGAACATTTTTGCAAAAATCTTTTACAAAAAACTGATTAAAATAAAAAACGAGGCAGTGGTTTGTGATGGGAACTGCTGTTTGATCCATCAGTCTCTCGTTAATTGCCTGTATTAACCTGATATGTCTAACTCTGGTGCCTGTGTATAGTTTTCTTCTTCAGCACTCACCTTAAAACTTCAGATTTAGAGAAATCTTGCAGTGAAAATACCATGCTGAATTGTTACCAATATTTTTATATTCATTTTATAATCATTACTGGGTAAAATACACCATAGAATACCAACTTTAATTTAGTTATCTTATTTGAAAGCTTTTTTTTTTTTTTACATCATTTTTTTCTATATAGGTTTACACAAAGAAAAATGCTTCCATCCTCTGACTTTTAGACGAGACATCTGAGCTTTACAGAAGTTACCTGACTGCACTTCAGGGAATGATTCAGCCAAAGACCAGCGGATCCTCCAGTGGTTACGTCCTGTTTGACCCTCAGCTAAACTTATGACTAATTGAGAGGATGGATAAAACTGAAGAGAGAAGCTGGGAAGCCAGACAAAGGGTGGGGGTTGGGAATGAACAGATGAAAAGGATGGAGGTGGTTTAGAGAGCTATTAGGGTTTGTTTTTTTTAAAGGGGGGGAATATTGAAAAGGTGGTACCTACTACTATATAGCTTACATCTGGAGTCATTTTTCCCCTTTATTTTCTGAAAAAGGAAAATATTCCACTGTATATATAACTTATCCTGCTGTACACTCCTCATTTCTCCCGGTATCAGCCTGTTTGTTCTACCAGCTGTTCACTCATCTGCTTCACTTTTGATCTATCATTTGCTTTTCGGTCTTATTCCCTTTCTACATATTTTAAATTCCCCTCCTATACACAACAGAAATTTTTTTTTTTTTAATCCCAGCACTTCTTTTGAATCGCTGACAGGAGATTGATCATGCATCGTTGTAGTATTGATTTTTCTCACATAGTATATGCAGACGCTCCTGTGTTGAATTCATATGTGGCGTTTAGTCGGCTGCATCTCTTCAGCAAACCTTTTTTTTTCTCCCACCCAGCAGTGGCGTAGATCTATAGCTTTTAGGTGGAGGGGGTCTTTCTCTCGCTCTCTCTTTGAGCATGTGGACTTTATCTTGAAATAAGGGGCTGGCTGCCATAGCAACCATATGATGAGGCAGGCGAGGCTATTTAAAGGAATTCAGCTGCTGCTCCCGTTCCCCATCAGCTTCACACCAGTCCAGCACGAGACAAAGGCACACATGTGAAGACGGATTTAGACGCCTATCTTTTCACGCATTGTTTTCCGTCTGCGCTCTGTCACAGTTTCATAAAAATATTGCTTTTGTTTGCATTTTGGATCTTTGCGCTTTAAAATGTAGCCTTTGTCAACCTCAAACAAATCTTTTTGTTTTTCCCTCTTATTGCCAATTAGATATCAAATAAAAATGGGAGATTTTTAATAATCATAGATAAAAAAATAACTTAAATTACTTGAAGCGTGTTGATAAATTTTAAACTAGTTTAATCAAATTTGCACACGCTAACCGAAAATAAAAAACATAACATGCCAACGCAGAGCTGGCAGGTCAACGGCAGCATTTAATAGCAGTTATCTGCAGAAGGGCCGAGTATACTGTGAGGTCTGAACTGATGCTTTTCTGTAAACTAATATTTCTCCAGATAGGCAGTCGGTGGACGGCCATGCATGAAGAAGCAAGAATGAAATGTAAAATAACTGATCTGTACATCTAACATCTTATAGTGGAAGGCATGCATGTTCTTAAACACACATTTTCCCCCCTACCTTCCTTTCATTACACTCAAACTCACTCCTTACTGCTCACTGCAACACCTACAGGGAATATAGGGTTGTAGTCACTAGTTATAAGTAGGTAATATCTTGCCTACATTAGATGACTCTCTTGACTTCTTTATTTAGCAGAAATAAAGACTGGTTGTTCCTGAGGGTGAAGGTAACATTAGCTTAAGAGGAACCTCTGCCATCTTTAAACAGGTTCATCCTAAAAATGAAAGTCAGAGTACAGTTTTATGCAGGGGATCATCTGCATTTATGGAACCAGGTTTCTGTGAAGGAGACTTGTTGTAGACAGTGAATTTTTGGATTTTTTTGTAAAGTGAAGAAATCCTGAGCTGTGCAGAAGAACCTTCCTTTTGCTCATTATTATCAATTTGAATATTTTAAGGCATAAACTCCAAAGTTCCTGTTGCTTCTTGTCTTATTCCCCGCTGGTTCAGACTGCTGTAGGTCAGACCACCTGAATCATTTTCCTACAAAGTATGAGACAAAATATGGAAAAGCATATTTTACTCAGCATAAAGTAAAATAAATTACATCTTCTTGTAAAATTCTTTATTTTCTCCTACAGAGGACTGTAGAGATGTGGCCTACTGTACGGTCAACAGCATCCACCCAGGGTTGGTTTAGTGTTTAATGAAAAAAGCCTGTCTCTTGTAAGACTATTGACCAATAAAGTCCACTAATCTAGCCTTGGATTTGATGAATATCATCAATCTGTTTGAGGCATTTCAAATGGCTAAGCTGTTTGTTAAGCTGTTGGCCAGGATTTCTTTATTTGCAGCCTCCCTGCAATATTTAACATGCTAGGAAATTACCATTTATAAAGTAGCAGAACTAGTCTAACAAAATCCACTCCGCCCCTTTTAAACTACATGTTTTCACTAGGTAGTTTATAATTAACAATAAGACATAAGAGATTGAGGTTGGAGGCAGTGCACCATCAATAATCTTCCTATGTGAAATGTGTACTGAGGGCCAAACATGGAAAATAAATAAAAAGCTAAAGTAATGCAGAAATCCGAATGGTAAATATTGTTTTATATTTTTTTCTATTAAATGGTTGCCCTAAATGAAAACTATTTACATGCTCTAGTTGACACAGGAGGATTACTAGTGACACGTAGTCTCCTACGTTCTATCGCCATACAGTTGCAGACGTCTGTGTAAACAGACCCCTAATGCAAACAGGAAAACGGTTTGAAGGTTAATAGAATAGTTTTTGCATAATCTGCTTTATTTTTTCTTATTTTTAGATCTGATCTTTGTCCCTTTTGGGCTAGATGTTTGCGTTAAGGTTCAGGACCAACTAAACTGGTTTAATACTAAAGACACTAAGTGTTGCTTACAGAAGGTAAGGTTATAAAATCACTTTAAAAAACTCTGGATTGTCTTTATTTTTGTTCTTTTTTTATTGTTCAACTCCAAAAATATCTTGGCAATTCCTTCTTTGGCTTTGAATACTCCTTTTTCTTGACGGTGTCCTTAAAACAGAAAACCAGTGACCTAAGCAAACTATTCAGGGTGTGAAAGTCAGCAGAACTCCAAGGTTCATGTTGAAAAGCCATCAATCGATTTCCCTTCTTTGGACTGAGCCTGAAAACAAGAAGGAATACCTGCTTATTTTGTGAATTAGGATCTGTTAACCACCTAACATGGATACGGTTAACGATTTCAGGGATTGGTTCATCACATTTGTAAGGTTTTTTTATTCTTTCCCTGGCCCATAAATCCAGTTTTTATCATGCCGATAGTCTACATTTCAATCTGAAGTACAGAATAATTGGCGAACCTGCCGCTGTTCTTTTATCGCTCAGTTGAGCCGCATGTGCGGCTTTGAGAGAGCAGTCAGGAAGATTTAAAGAGCTTCACAGAAGCAAAATTATGAGTGACCGCTCTCCTCTCGTAACGCTCCCTCTGCTCTTCACTGTGCTCTTTATCTCATTCTAATCCCAACTCATTTCATATGCTAAGTAAAAGCTTATATCCCTCTTCACTGTACATACACACACATTCCTCATTGCCCCGGTGTGATTATAAAATTTACATAGAGGCTTTTTTTCCGAGCTGCGGAGAGCTGAGGCGGGGGGCTGTGGGTGGTCTAATGCCTGGCAGGTGTAGAGAGGTAGGGCATGAACTCCCAGAATCTCTCATGTCTGGATTGTTGATGTCTACACCACAGGAAGGAAGCAGAAAGTTCCCTCATGTCTGCATGTTTCTCTGCTCACCTTGAACGGTTTCCTCGGATTCTCATTTGCATGTTCTTTTTTTCTTCTTTTTTTCACAGCTGCCACAGATGAAGCGAAGATAGCAGCGAGATGAAGAGGCAGAGCTGACTCTATACCCCCGGGGAGGATGCAGCGAGGTGGAACCACTTGCCTGCCTCCCAGTAGAGAAATACTTCCACCATCAGAGCGCCATCTGCAGACTCGGTGGGGTGGGACAGCTGGTGTTGTGAATCAGGCCGCCGTAGTCCAGGGACCGGCTACTTCCCAACACCAGGGTCTCACCCTCACTCCTCACGTCCTAATGACATATGACTTTCTCCTACATATTTCACCCTCTACACTCTTTATTGTTGTAAAGTGGATGGTTTTGTTCTTTTCACTTTTATCCATGCAGAACATCTTTCTATTAATGCTGAAATTAATTCTTCTCTGCATGCAGTAGTGGAGAGAAAATGTGTCCAAAGTAAATAAAGATATTTTACCACATGTCTCTTTAATATTAATGGTTGGTAAAGATTTTTAATAAAACCATATTCAAATTGAATCAAATCCACGTTTTCATTTTGATTCTGGGTCCCTTCAATAGTTATCACTTGTTTGGTTCCTTTGTTCTATGTAAACAAACCACATCAATGTGTGGTTTAGCAGCGGGACATGCTAAACCTACTGTTTTACCTGTTTGGATATACACTATATTGCCAAAAGTATTTGCTCACCTGCCTTGACTCACATATGAGCTTAAGTGACATCCCGTTCCTAATCCATAGGGTTCAATATGACGTCGGTCCACCCTTTGCAGCTAGAACAGCTTCAACTCTTCTGGGAAGGCTGTCCACAAGGTTTAGGAGTGTGTTTATGGGAATTTTTGACCATTCTTCCAGAAGCGCATTTGTGAGGTCGCACACTGATGTTGGACGAGAAGGCCTGGCTCTCAGTCTCCGCTCTAATTCATCCCAAAGGTGTTCTATCGGGTTGAGGTCAGGACTCTGTGCAGGCCAGTCAAGTTCATCCACACCAGACTCTGTCATCCATGTCTTTATGGACCTTGCTTTGTGCACTGGTGCACAGTCATGTTGGAAGAGGAAGGGGCCAGCTCCAAACTGTTCCCACAAAGTTGGGAGCATGGAATTGTCCAAAATGTCTTGGTATGCTGAAGCATTCAGAGTTCCTTTCACTGGAACTAAGGGGCCAAGCCCAGCTCCTGAAAAACAACCTCACACCATAATCCCCCCTCCACCAAACTTTACACTTGGCACAATGCAGTCAGACAAGTACCGTTCTCCTGGCAACCGCCAAACCCAGACCCGTCCATCAGATTGCCAGATGGAGAAGCGCGATTCGTCACTCCAGAGAACGCGTCTCCACTGCTCTAGAGTCCAGTGGCGGCGTGCTTTACACCACCGCATCCGACGCTTTGCATTGCACTTGGTGATGTATGGCTTGGATGCAGCTGCTCGACCATGGAAACCCATTCCATGAAGCTCTCTGCGCACTGTTCTTGAGCTAATCTGAAGGCCACATGAAGTTTGGAGGTCTGTAGTGATTGACTCTGCAGAAAGTTGGCGACCTCTTCGCACTTTGCGCGTCAGCATCCGCTGACCCCGCTCCGTCAGTTTACGTGGCCTACCTCTTCGTGGCTGAGTTGCTGTCGTTCCCAAACACTTCCATTTTCTTATAATACAGCTGACAGTTGACTGTGGAATATTTAGGAGCGAGGAAATTTCACGACTGGATTTGTTGCACAGGTGGCATCCTATCACAGTTCCACGCTGGAATTCACTGAGCTCCTGAGAGCGACCCATTCTTTCACAAATGTTTGTAAAAACAGTCTGCATGCCTAGGTGCTTGAATTTATACACCTGTGGCCATGGAAGTGATTGGAACACCTGATTCCAATAATTTGGATGGGTGAGCAAATACTTTTGGCAATATAGTGTATATTTCCTGAAATCTCTATACATCAAACTACTTTTTTCTTTTGGTTTTAGTCGCATTTAGACTGCTGACTCCTTTTTTTTTAAAGGGGAAAAAAATACATGGGTTGTGAGATCACAAAATAAGCTTTAAGGGACTTGCTTCCTTTGTAAAATCCCATTGCTTTCCAAAGGTAAACACAAATGGACCCAAGGTTGGTATGAAATTCAGTTTTGTACGTGGAAAAAGTAAAATTTACCAACATTTTGATTGTCAGAAATGCCAAACCTCACTGATATTGAGATTATTTTGTTTGCTTAATCTACCATTTATGTGTCTTGTTTTTATAGTGAGCACTTTGCTGCTTTCATTTGAAATCATGTTTTCCGCCTATTAGTCCCTGAACCATTATGGTTCAAATTGCACTTAACTGCAAGGTAAACAGACAAGAAACAAACATGAAATGTTTCAGAAAGCAGAAACCAAATTCACAGGTTACATTCTAATTAGATGACTGATCAATCTCACACTTGGTACAAAAAAAATAGTTTTCAAATGTATTTGAAAGACGTAACTGAGATATTTTAGATGCATTCATGACTGATTTCACACCTGAACCCCTGCCTGGTTGTGTTATCAGCACTCTGCTTAAAAAGAGGAACTATAAAATAAAATAAAAGCTTGGTCCTGAAAACACTGAGTCCAGATCACAGGTTCTTTGGGGCTTTGTGTTGGATAATTTATTCTTAACATAATTATATTCTTAGTGTCTTGGATGAGTATTTATGCATCCTCAGCCTTTTAATATATCAATCACTAACTGATTTTTTGGAGTTTTAAGTAATTCACAAACCGTGAATAAAACAAAAGGAAAACCATCTTAGAGACCAGGATGCTCAAAAACGCAGACAGAACCACGTAGGTGTTCACTGCACACATTGTGCCACTAGTCTTTGTTTATGGACCCTTTTTTTTTTTTTTTTATCTGGCTTTGTTGTTAAATAATTCTTATTCTCTTGGTGGTTGTTCATCCTTTGTGTTCTGCTCATTAGATTTCAGTGCTAAATGGTCCAGGAGGGAAACCTATATATTCCCCATCTCTTTCTGTGTGATGATGTTGAGGTGTTTCTAGACCAGAGGGGATGTACTATATGGTCCGTCGGATGAGTTTGGGGTCAGCAGCAGGTCCTCCCCCTGAGGGACATACTCAAAAAGAGGGCATGCAGGTCAAATGTCTGAGCCAACCTGGCAGTTTTATATATATTTTTTGATTAAATGCAGAATAGCAACTTCTCTTCATCTCCCCCTGGCTTGTCTCACCTGGGGGAGGCTAAGCCAACCAGCCTGTGCATCTGGATCTCGTTCTGCTACCACAGGAGTTAGAGCCGTCTTCATAGCTCGATGTTTTCTTCACTAAAGCAGACTAGAGCACAAAATGCATCTGGCATGCTGATTACTGCTGTCATAATCTCACTCTGCTATTTCACATTATACCTCCTGCTGGCTCCATAGTGGTTTGTATCTTTTTACCCTTTTTATTAAGACCTTTCTATGTAATCTTTTATTTTTTTTTATTCAGACTCTCTGTTTTCAGAGTGTGATAAATCATATTTGAAAATGGAGCTCTAACTGTTTGAATAAATAAGTGGAGAATTTATGTTTTACTCCAGCCATCACCATGTTTCAGGGATCTTAACCTTGTTTTAGATGTGACAGGAACTGGGCTAAGGAGCATCCATTGAAGGCTGATGGACAAAGATAAATATATACAGTATACACTGTTAAAAAGCTAAAGGGGACACTCAACGATCTGAATGAATGAAACATTCTCATTGAATACTTTATTCTGTACAAAGTTGTGCTGATGACAAAATCACACAGAAATCAAATTGATTAGCCACTGGAAGACTTGGAGTGTCAGAAAATTAAGGTGGAAAGACACAAAATGTTGATGCAACTTTGATGTAATGTCCTGAAAAAAGGTCACAATAGGGGTCAGTAATGTGTGTGGTCTCCATGTGCCTTTATGGCCTCCCTACAGTGCCTGGCCATGCTCCTGATGAGGTGGCAACTGGTTTCCTAAGGAGATCTCACAGACCTGGACTAAAGCACCCACCAACTCCTTGACAGTCTATGGTGCGATGCGATATTGGTGGATGGATCAATACATTGGCTCTGTTTGAAAACCTGGGCTGCATCCTCCAAGGACGCGGTCTACCTAGACTGGATCCTTCCAAGTCCTCGAAAATAAGGAGACCGGAAGAGTTTGAGCTGTGAATTCGAACAGGTCTACCCTTCGCGGGTTTTACCGCAGTAAGCTCTGTTGCTTAGCAACCATGAAAGTTGACACACAAAGCAGTAAAAGAATGAAAACCTAAGTTTTCAAAACTGTTTGTTTATTTATTTATTTTTTATTGTAAAGCGAACAAAGACTGATGAGAATCCAGAGTGGAATAAAGGTTCCAACCACCGGGAGCAGGAACAAATAAAATCAAATGTAATGATAGAAATCTTAGTCAGTTAAATAACCTGCTGCTGTCATTTTGCACATCTCTGATGTTGCTGCTATTTTCAAATATTCATTACTGTAAAAATGTCCATAGCTGCATATTGGTTATTAATTCTCCAGTTTTATATTAAAGCACTTTACAGTATTGTATTGTTTATATTTTAACTCTTCCCTATTATGTCATTCTTATACATTTTTCTAAGGTCCTCATTTGTGTGACCATTTTCAATAATCTTTCTGCTGCTGTAAATTTGCCCATTGTGGGAAAATAAAGGGATTTTCTATTCTAAAAAAGGAGTCGAAAGATATAAGTAAATCTAAACAATGTATGTGTAAAAAATCTATCTGCAAAATCTCTAATATTCAACAACAAAAAATACTTAGTTAAGCATATTGTGCAAAACAGCAATAAAAAGATAAAAATCCTATCAGATTTATAGTCCCCACCCTGCAGATATATTAGAATCTGTCCTTAAATTACAGCCAAACCCATTTACACAGTAACAGATAAAAATCTTTAGATAAATCAAACATTACCGCCACATATCTGACTCAATAACCATTAAAACAACAATTTTCATTAATCTCAGACGGAACTATTCACAGACTTGTATTATATTAAACTGAACTTCCAATTTTCACCCCTGTTCGGTGCCAAGTAACCTTTCCTCTGATCACGGCTTGCTTGGTCTCGCAATAAATCCTGGGATATCCAAGGATACCGAGAATGCATCAGACACGTCCTTCAAATCCGGCAAAAAGAAGGACGCATTTTAAGGCCGCATAACGAGGACTCTTGGAATCTGACCAGACCTTGGCGCCGCGCTATGACGTAATCGTACTTCGAATCTGGCCTTCTAAGGATGCGTCCTAGGTTTTCGAACAGAGCAATTATATCCTAGATGTGCTCAATCGGTAAGGGTCTGGGGAACAGGTGGGAAACTCCATAGCTTTAGTTTCTTCACCTTACAGGAACAGCTGACACTCCATCCACATGAGGTCTATCAATGTACTGCATAAGGAGGAACCTGGGGACAACCGCACCAGCATATGGTCTCACAAGAGGTCTGAAGGTCTGATCTCGGTACCTAATGACAGTTATGCCACCTCTGGTGAGC